TTCTTCTTCTTTTTGACACCAAGTAAATGATAACACAGTTGAATTGAAGGGTAATATTATACTCACTAAAACGAGCATATTGCTGCTCAAATGACATTACACGAGGTGGAAGGAGGCCACGGAGTCCTAATCTATCTCTTTCTGACGAAGGAAACCCCGTATCCTGCACTTGAAAAATCCATATAAAAAGAAAAGAAAAGAAAAATGAAAAAAGAAAAGTAATGCTTCCATGAGCTGCAATTTCATTACATTTACAGACAGCTAACTGTTGCTATGAAAAGCTAAGGTCTGCCTCGAATTTGTTTTATCTTAACGTTTTTTTGATAAAAATGCAACACACTAACCTTGCTGAACCAAGGATCGTGAAGAATATCAGCACCACGCTTGTGTATAATACACGCACCAGGAATCGCAGTCGAGAAAAGCCTCAATCGGCGGCGGAGGCTCGACGCAGCAAATCGCGCCAGATTCCACATTACGTGCCCTAGAACTCAAGATCCAACGCACCCGGAAAACTGCTTTTTAAAATTAAAAAAAAAAAAAATGGGAAGAAGAAGAAGAAGAAGGGAGCAAAAACAATACTCCAAATCCACTCCTTCAATAATTGTCCTTTTCCAGCATTCCATCCAACATTTTTTTTTCCCGAGGAAATGCAATCAATCCTTCAAGAATGAATTAGCTCGATGCGATCCATAGTAAAACTCTCTTGATCTCTTCCTGCCTTATTTATATTATTTGTGAAAGATTGAAAGCGGAAACTGGAAAGAGTTGAAGCTGTTGAGAGTGACAGTGGAGGAGTGTTGCAGCTGCCCGGGGTTACGAGAATACGTGGCGAATGGACGTGGGCGAAGAGTAATGAGGTGAGAACAGCCAAAAACGGAATTGCCCGAATAAAACAGGGGCGCGGGGAGGGGGAGGAAAAAGTCAGGTTCCGTTCCTTTGGGGTTACTAAAAATAGGAAATTCCCGCTTTTGACTTCTGCTTAGCGGAGATTTGTGGACTCCCCGCTCCATGAGTCCGTTGATTCCTTTTGGTTGTAATTGTAACGAGTATGAAATATGAATTATGAATTATGTAACGAGTATTAGTTGTACTCATAATATTATATAAAATTACATATTTATAATTTTATATAATATTAAATAAATATATATTATATTAAAATAAATTTTTAAATAAAAAATTAATTATGTAATAATATATTATATTGTAAATTTATAATATTATATAATATTATAATTATAACATTTTCGATTATATAATAAAAAATAATTATTTTCTTTACAAATATCCTTTCACCTATTTCAAAATTCGAATGTGAGAATCTTTAATATACACACTCAACTCAAATTTTTAATCACTAAGACATTTAAAGTTTCCTAACAGACAATTTATAAGATCCTTCATTCAATTGTTGATAGTTGAATTATGTTTGATGAAGAGTGTCAATAATTGCAGAGTTTCAAAATCACAGCCGAGTTGTGTTGATTCATTAAGTACAATTTCAATACAAATCTAAGGGAACATATTCCCAAAGTTTGATTCAAGCAAGCTGGTTAATGCACAATACTTTCTAGAACAAAATGCTGCAGGAAACCTAGAGTGTTGTTATCTTGCCTTGCGGCAGTAACAGTCTTATCTCCCACCAAGCATTCCACTGCATTGATTTCAAACTCTGAAACTTTTTTTCAGGCAAGTTAACAACTGTTAATGATTATCAAAACACAAATATGCACATAAATATGCAACTTCCAGGGAACAGTTTTTAACGTTTTCTTCCACATGACTTATTGATGATGGTATGACTAATAAGTTCACATGGTAGGAAGCATCACAAGAGCATGTCTTCAAAAGATCTTCAAATCCACTTCAATCAACAATACAAATGAAGGTTGTATTCAACCAATACTGATACTAGTAGTCTTTGTTTCCAAAATTCTTGCACCAGAGCTGCGAAGGAATTGGGCGCACAGGATGATGAGGCCGTTGCTGCAAGAAAGCAATCAAGCAATCAGTTTTAGCTATTCATCACAGTTGCTCAAGCAAGTGATAGAGATGCACAATAAAATTTCATCAATTAACTCATCTACAAGTTAATACAAATATATATTTTCCTGAAGCACCTCAAGGCATAGATGGTATCAAGATTCTATTACGATATTATGTGTTTCATGGATTTAAAAATGATAGAAAGTACTACAATAGCTTGATCCTACAGGATAGAGCTTTCAATATCGAATTAAACAATTTGAGACTGTTGTATAGAACTATAACATGCTGAGACTTATTCATTATAGCAGCAACTTCTTGTTGCTGATAAACTACTTGTACAGATAGTTTCATGGATAAATACAATTTTCACATTTTATCCAAAAAAATACATCGAATTAAACAAAATAACAAATTATTAAAGTACATAATAGAGAACTTAGGCCCCTTATAGTTTTCTTCTTCTTTTAGCAGTTAAGTTACTCAATGCATCTTCCATCTAATTGTGCACCACCATTGTCAAAACTTTACACGCTCAAACTCCACCTAACAAACTAAATTTCTCATTGTTTAAGAAACAAAATACTTATAAAAGCAATTAGGATCTCAAGCCTGTAACACCCATATGTTCCAAGACCTGATCTGAGATGACTAGAATGATAAGTTATATCCAACCTGCTAATTTGTCAACAAGTATTGCTCACAAAGATGCTCCATGTATATAAGGCAAGTCAACTCAAGTTATCAAAATGACAATTCTGCATTGATTTTAAGCTTTAAAAAATTCATGGATACATTTCTGCACCAGATTAAATGGCAATACATCATACTAAAATCAGCAAAATCATATAAGGCATAAACATACTGCGAACAATCAACAATAAGGAATTAAAAAGTGAAAATTTTAGACCTCAAGCTCCGCAGATTTCATAGCGATTGGGATGCAAATTAGGAAGACACCAAACATGGCAATCGCGGTGTTGCGACGCCAGTGCTTGGGCCGGCAGTATGGACCACCCGACATGCTCCAGACCTTCGTCCTAAAATCCTCAGCTCCATGTCCATGTCCATGTCCATGCTCAGCTCCTCCCATCTCTGTTAATTTACTCGATCGATTGACTGAGATCTCCTCGTTCGACTGCAAACACGAGTTTTCCGATCACAGAAAAATGGAAGAAACAATAATGCGCTAAAAACAAAACCCTAATCTTCCGATCGCATCTGTTCATAGATGGAAGCAAGATACCGATTAAGGTAGACTAACGCGACACGACGCAGAGAGATTAACGCTTGTGTTCTTACCGGAGAGAATTGCGAGGATGAGGCCGTCGCATGCAAGAGGTGAGGACTGGAGTTTTGGCCTTTTGACAATTGGATTTGGAAGCCTCCGGTGGGCTATAAGGCCCAGCATTTTTTAGGCTTGAAATTTTTTTTCGAGCAAAGGGCCTCATTAGGCCCTGGGTTTGGAAAGTCCATTTCACTTGAAAGATGAAATTTTTTCTTATCTATGATTGTGGGCCTTCAAACAGAGCACAAAGTCCAATTATAAATATAAAAAAAAATGATAATTATCCAGGTTACCACACAGCGTTCCTTCCTTAATGTGACAATCCCCGATAATCTGAACATATAATTAATAGTTAGTAAATTATTTAATAAAATATTAAAATAAGGTTAATTCATTAATTATTTTATAATTTAATCTTAAATATTTTTTTAACAAAAATATTTATCTATTACTAAGGAAAATCTTGAGTGTTGTTTCTTATGTCAACACCATTAATACTTTCATTACAAACCTCACCAACTCGTGAGCATCACCAACTAATTTTTATATACTGTTTGGCCCCATGTCATTAATATCAATGTAAACTATTTGACTCATGTCATTATGAGTTTTAAAAATATCTTGGGTGTTGTTTCCTATGTCAACACCATTAATACTCTCATTACAAACCTCACCAATCCGTGAGCATCACCAACTAATTTTTATATACTGTTTGGCCCCATGTCATTAATATCAATGTAAACTATTTGGCCCATGTCATAATGATTTTTGAAAATATCTTGGATGTTGTTTCCTATGTCAACACCATTAATACTCCCATTACAAACCTCACCAACCCGTGAGCATCACCAACTAATTTTTCAACACTATTTGGCCCCATGTCATTATAATCAATGTAAACTTTCACTTCATCACTTGTAGTAATGATTTTACTATTCTCACAACACAATTAGCATGTAAAATTGATTTCAATCTTTCAAACTTAGCAAGTGAAAACTTGAAATAAATGCTTTTAGCTCTAATGTCCTGGTAACCTAAAGCATGCACAAGCTTTATAATCTCTTCTGGATTGACTTTGTCCTCATACACATCAAAGATTAACCTTGCATTGTTAACATAATCAATAGGTGGACCTCGCTCAAAGGTTCCCCATGAAAAATAGTCAAAACACCAATAGAAGTGGCCATTACTGTAAAACACATGCAGACGCAAATAAAAACAATAGCTTTTCAAAATATTATAAAGACAAGTGGGGCATCAAAACATGATATTTATAGTAGAAAAGTCATGACTTCCACACTTTTTAAATTTATGCAAATTAAAAAAAAAAAAAGTGAAACTTTTGAGATTCACCTATTCTCTCAAAAAATGCATTGCCTATTAGTTCTGCAGTAGCAAATCTTGAGACTTCATCATCTACGAGTTTAGAGAATAAGCAGTTCTCATCGTATTTGTCCCCACATCTATTTAAATAAAAAAAAGGAAGTAGGGTTTCAAAAGTTTTTTTTTTTTTTGTCCGGCCTACTCTAAAATTGATTGAATTTTTGTTAATTTGTTGAGTTGTTCACCTCATCATCGAAGTGAATAGCCAGCTCATCAAAAATAGTCCAGCTGTGCACCACATCACTCATTGGATCTCACTTTGATGCAGATCTCCGTTCGTTTCAAATGGCTTGATAATGATAAGGGTTTATTTAACATCTTTCAAAAGTATAAGATGGAGAATGTGTCTATTTTGGGGTGAAGGGCTTATTTAACACCACTTGACAAATTTAAAGGTTAATTTGCATGATTGGCCTATTAAAAAAAATTAAAAATCATATTTTTATATCATTAACTAATTTTTTTTGTCTTAATTTTCTTTTGATCTTTTATTTAAAACAACATAATTTTAATATAATGTTCATCTTAATTTTAAGTAGTACAACAGATATAAATGCTAATCTTCCTTGAAAATTATACTTATAATTTATCAACAAAATAAGAAGGTACTGTGGAAACATTCCATTAATTTACCTTAAAGAAAGTAATAGACGGAAAAACGAAGGAACAGGAAATTCCATTGCCCAGAAACTTACCTCCAGCAAAAAGAGACATCATGGAAACTTCTATTTATTTACATTAGAAAAAGAGCAAAAGAGGTGACGGAAAATAGGGTAAGAAATTCACTTTAATTTGTAAAGAATAGAAAAGGTTAACTGGAACTTTCAAAGAAATGGGACCGTCGGCTTTGGTCAATTATTCACATGGTGGCAGAAAGCAGGAAAAGGAAGCACCACTAGATAAGAAAGAATAAAATAAGAAAAAGCAAATAGGAAATAACAGGGAACATAATTGCATTGAGTAAGCAGAAATCCATATGCGCGTATGGGTACAATGGTCTCTCCGCTCTATAAAAACAGGTGCGCAGTTCAATCCCTCCTCATCGGTGCTCAGTTTTCTAACAAACACAATCTGTGTTTGTCTCTCAGGATTCTCTTGCGTTTGCTATCTTTCTGTGTGGCTAAGCGTTCTAGGATCAGATCTGGTAAGTGATTACCTTAAATTTGCAGATTCTTCATCAACATTTCAACATATTTTTAGTCCAGTGGCTGCTCCAATCTCTGCTCTCTCAACACTATTCCCCTTTTCTTTTGCAGAGTTTAATTGTGCTAGCCATTTGTCTCTGATTCTCTAAGCATAATGGCTGAACTCGTCCTCAACTTCGTCAGCCCAATCATAGAGATTGCAGTTCCTAAAGCAATTTCATTTTCTGCTGCACAAATCAGCACGGCATGGGGTCTGGAGAAGGAGCTGGGGGAGCTTGCTCAAAAACTGACTATGATCCAAGGATTGCTTCAAGATGCTGAAAAGAGGCAAGAAAGCGATCCAGCCATAAGGAGTTGGTTACAGCACCTCACGGATGTAGCTTATGATGCGGTGGATGTACTGGATGAGTACGAGTATGAGGTTCTTAAGCACAAAGTTCAGACTCAAGGCCGAAAGTGGAAACAGGTGCGCACCTTTTTTGGTGTTTTCAATTCAACTGCCTTTCGTCTTAGCATGGCTGATAAGATTAGGAAGATTAATGAGACTCTGGATAAAATCAACAACCCACTGGTTTTGCTTCTGCCAATCAGACTTAGTGGCCAAAGTGATTCCACTGCTGGTGCAAGGCAATATCTTGAGACAGATTCCATCCCTGATTGCTTCAAATTTGTAGGAAGGCATAATGATGTCTTAGATATTGTCAACAAGCTGGATAATATAAGGAGTCAACATATCCTCTCTGGCATTTCAATAGTAGGCTTTGGGGGCATAGGCAAGACAACATTAGCGAAGTCAATATGTAGTATGGTAAAAGAACAAAAGTTGTATGACCTGGTGGCTTGGGTTTGTGTGTCTGAGGAATTTGATGAAAAAATAATATTAGGAGATATGTTAGAATAC